GCAGAAATTTTATTAAAGCAAGTGATTAGTGTTTCAATTTAAATGAGATTATTACCAGAAGATTAAAAAAAAAAAAAAAAAAAAAAAAAAAAAAAAAAAAAAAAACCTGAAATTTTAGAGAGAAGTTGTGATGAAAGACAGAGTAAGAGATAACTTTTGCCAATAAAATAACCATCTGGAAACAATCATCCATATCAAAAGCCAATGTTGTAAAATAACCATCTCAAAAGACAATGCTATAAAATAACCATATGGAAACAATCATCCATATCAAAAGACAATGTTGTAAAATAACCATCCATGACTAAAAGTGTAATTAGTTCCCATTACACATCAAAAGTCAATTTTGTCATCAAAACACATAACATAAAGTTCAAAATAGACTAGTTCACTAGGTTACATCATATGATATCCAAAATAGTTTATAAAAGTGACTAGGTTACATCATATGATATCCAAAAAGCAGTGAGTACACATCAACTAATCCAAATTTATTGGGTCTTTGTCATTCCCCAGAATTTAGACTTGAATGTGGATGATAATCTTGTAGCATACTTCTTCACTGGTTGTTTCTTCCTATCTGACTTCATTGGAGCTATTCTTTTTCTTGGGATATTGGGTTGCATGACTTGTTTCCCTTTACTCCCTTCTTCTTGTTCAACTACACATACTACAAGTGTAAATCGGTAGGTAAAATACTCTATTAAAATTGAAGGAATGGACTAGAGTAAAACTTACAATGAACTGTTATGACTGGAATTTCCATACTGCTACTTAGTGAAGCCCCTACAAGACATAACATACCTTAATCAATATTGGTTCTTAGGGAAAACAGAAAATTGAATTTCATAACAAACCTAGTTACTGGAATGTAATAGCATACCTCCATCAATGTCCTGTGTCTGAATTTCGATTTGGTGCCAATGTGCATCCAAAACATCATCTGGAATCTCCCATTGATTATCTTCAACTTCAGGTTGAGTAATAACATCAGGTTCATCAGCAATAGCAGCACCATGTGTGGTAGCAGCAGCCTGGACAGTAGCAGCAGCCTGGAAAATAGCAGAAACTTGGACAGTAACAGCAGCCTAGAGTTGAGGTTGATCAGCCTGGACAGTAGCAGCAGCTACTCCTCTTGATGTTCTTCTTGTGAACTGCAAAAAGTTTATGTTGCTTACTAATGCAAATAGATTATGACTGTAATGTAATAAAAAAAATACAAACTATCTAACCTGATTGGCAGGCCTCATAGTAGGGTATTTTGGACATTTTCTGCTGTTATGACCTAATTCTTTACATTTTTTGCAATGTAAAGCAACATGTCTTCTTGACAAATGCACACCATCATTACTGATCTCACCTTTAGACTTCATTCTCAATTTTCTAAGTCTTCCAGCTTTTGCTTTATAGAATGGTGGCAATGGAAGTTGTCTACTTGTGAGAGGCCAATCTTCATAACCTGACATTGGATTTATACATCCCTCATAAGTTTTCAAGTATGTGGAAATCAAGTAGCATGAATCCACATAATGCCAAATAGGTCATTTTCCATGTTTCATCCAGATTGCACAGACTGCAGGTTGTCAAGGGATTCCAGTTAGGTCCCATTTCCTACAAGGACAAGCTCTTCTACCTAAATCAACAGTAAACTGCTCAGATTGTCCCTGTGATCTCAAAGAGCATTGGAGAACACTAATAGCCAATTAGTCCTCCTGCAAGCTTATCAATGTCATCTATTTTTCTCACAATATTTGGACAAACTATTCCACTCCATTCAGTAGCTTTTACATCTAAACTCAAATAGCCTTAACATTATTGTTTTTTTCCTAATTATCTCCAAGCAATTAATCACAGGGTTTTCCCTAGCTGTCAAGATAATTGCATTGAATGATTCTGAAATGTTATTAACCAACATGTCACAACTGGAAGTTCCTGTGAAGTGGGATCTATTCCATTCAGATGGGTGTTTATCAGCAAGCCAAGCAAAGGCATCTTCATCTAGATTTCTTAACTCTTGTAGAGCCACAGTAAAGTTATTGACTGTAGTGGCCCTTGCTGCTTTCCACAAGGCATCTTTGATTGTTTTTGCTGTGAAACCAGCCACCCTCATGTTACAGTGCAGGTGTCTAACACAGAATCTATGCCTAACTCCTGGTAACACAATTTCAAAGGCTAGTATGAAACCCTTTTGCTTGTTGGACATCATTGTGAACTCATTCTGAACCATGGCATGAATTTGCAAGTCTTTCTTTAGCAATTCTAGAAACCAAGTCCAAGAGTTCTTGTTCTCACCTTCTACAATTGCATAAGCAATTGGAAATATACTTTCATTCCTATCTATTCCAACTATTGTCAATAATTGGCCTCCAGTTTTACACTTTAGGTGACACCCATCTAGGCCAATTATTTTCCTACAGTGCTTAAACCCTTCCTTCATAGCTTCCCAGCAGATATACATTCGTAAAAATCTGTTTTTTTCCATCCACTTGCGAGTCACTCAGCTTCACTTCATAACTACACTTGGGATTAGTTCTTACAGTAGCTCCAGATCTTATTAAAGTAGTCTTCTGCCTCATGTCTTATTTCACCTTTAGCTTTGACTAAAGCCCTCCATGCTTGCTTCTTACTTAGTGTGTAATGGTCATCCGTGCAAACTTTTTCTAAAAATGCGTTTGTTTTCCAATCCAAATGTCCTTTAATATGTTGTTTTCATCTTTTTGCAACAATGATGAAATTCACCATTGAATTCTTTTTAGTCCTTACAGTATTACACAACCATCATGTTTCTCATTTAACACAGATATCTTCCAAAATTTATCATCTTTATCATACCTCAGGATAACTTTCCATGGACAGCTCTCATGCTTACACTTCACCACACATCTCACTTTATCATTTTTTTTTCATATTTCATTTCCTTCCCCTCATTGATTGCATAATTTGTTATAGCTTCTCGAAACTCCCTCTTATCTTTAAAGGTTAATCCTAATGCAAATTTAGGACAACTACCTTCAATGTCTTGTAAATACTTTGTCCATTTGAACCCTGTTGCCTCACCCTCACTGCCTATCAAGCTTCCTTCATCATAATAGTTGACTTCATTACCAAATGTAGGTTCAGATTGTTGAGGTTGTCTTTCTACATTTACTAACCCTCCATACTCTACATTCACATCTACAATTTTTACAAATTCTTGATCATCATTCACACCTACAGTAATTAAGGCATCTGAATTATAATCCTCATCACTACCATCATATTCTTCCTCACTACCCTCATATTCTGCCTCACTAGCATCAGACTCTTCTTCATTGTCACCTCCACTAAGAACACACTCACCTGCATCATCACCATTCCTTTTTTTTTTTTTTTTTTTACAACCCATATTTCTATTTCCTTAGGATTACAAGATTGGTTAACTAAGTTCCAAACATCAAAATATTTCACCAATTCTTGCAACCCTACTTCAATGCCTATGGAATAGCTCAAACTATCATCCAGGGTATACCCAATTTCCCCTACCTTCTCCTGTAAACAAATCAACCTCCACTCATCTTCTACCATGTCATTAAATGAAGTTGCCACCTATATAGTTAGGAGGTAAAGTTTGACTTATCATGCCTCCATGTCTTAACTTAAGAGTAAAAATTCCTGAAATAAAGAATTGAGAAAATGCAATACAGTTTAGAGTACACAAAGTAGCAATGCATATGCTTTTGAGTTACCGGAAAACAGATGGTCCACTTCAGACTACTTTACACTAAGGGGGCGTTTGGTTCAGGTTATATAACATAACAAAGGGAATGTGACATTCCAAAGCTCACATTCCTATGTTTGGTTCACATTATCTCAAGGAATCTAACATTCCCCAGGAATGTCAAATTCCATCCACATAGGATTTTGAAGGGAATGTGATTCCCTTCAATTTCTAAGGTTATGTAAGATAACCTTGGTTATGTTAGTTTATCTCACACACACACACACACACACACACACACACACACACACACACACACACACACACACACACACACACACACACACACACACACACACACACACACACACACACACACACACACACACACACACACACACACACACACACACACACACACACATATATATATATATATATATATAAAATTATTTTTGTAATTATATATTTTTATTTTTATTATGTTAGGTTAGCATATAAAATAATTTTGTTTCTCAAGTTCAATATTTTAGGTAATATTTTAAAATCATGTAATTATATATGATACCGTTATCTTATTTATTTATTTTAATTTTTAAATTTATTAAAATATATGAAAATATGTTAAGAATATTATAGTGTGTGAATAAAAGATAACCTTAAACCAAACATGATTATATTACATACCCCAATTTTAACCAAACACAGGAATCTAACATTCCCTAAGGTAATCTGACATTCCGTGAACCAAACGACCCCTAAATGCATTAAAATAAACCCCAAGAATGGTCCCCAGCAGATGCATAACCAGACAAATGCAATACATATGCAATCAACAGGTTTCTAATAGAAATGCATATGCTTTTGAGTTACCAGACAACAGATGGTTAACTTCAGACTACTTTACACTAAATGCATTAAAAGAAACCACAAGAATGCTCCCCAGCAGATGCTTAACGAGACAAACCACGCAATTTTAAAACACAAAATGATCCCAACATGTATGTAAACGAAGCAGAATATAAAAACTCTCACTACAACAAATTAGTCTTTTAGCGACACTTACTTAGCGACGGTTATATAACCGCCGCTAAATGAATATTTTGCGACGGTTATAGAAACCGCCACTAATTTTGTACTAAAATTTAGAAACCAATGATTTCTTTTTAATTTTATCATTTTTATGTTTATTTTAGCGGCGGTTCTCTTAACCGCGGCTAAAAACTCATTTAAAATAAATGGGTATATTTTAGCCGCAGTTGGTTTCTATAAATCAACGAAATTATTTATTCATATACTATTTGGATGTGTTCAAAACAAAAAACCCTTCAGTCGTGCTCGATACATGTTTGCAATTCATTAACTGATATAGAGAACTGAGGCTCGACTGAGTTGGAAAGTCGATTGTGCGACTTGAAAGATGGTCGCCGGATGGAAGGCTAGAACGGCGTCTCCGGTATGGATTCTTTTTCCCAATTTACTAATCCATCTTTTCAATTCCCAGTCTATGAGTCGAATCTGTGAATATATTGCAAAAGTTAGGGTAGAAATCGGAAATCGCGACGATGCAGAAATCAGAATTCGTATCTAGATTTTTTATTTAGATTCGGCGACGATGCGGAAATCGCGACCGAGTATTGCAAATGTTAGGGTAGAAATCAGTAAATTGAAATAATTTTTTATTTAAGCGTTGTATTCTCTAATCACTTTTTCAGGTTGCAGTTTAACAGACAAGTAAATGTTGCAAAAACCAGATTTGACGGCTATCCTTGGGAATATTGCTACAAATCCAGGTATAAACATGAAGACGAAAATGCTTATATTTTAGCTGGCTTCATTTGATACGGATAGACCGATATTGTTAAGCAGTTATTTTTGAACAGTTCAAAAGGTCTGCCAAAGGTGCCGTTAATATGTAATGTAGTGTTTGAATATGAGTTACCATCAGATATTGTAGTCATACACATTATGATGCTAGAAATCTTCAAAGAAATTAAATATTAAAATAAAATTAAGAAAGCAGCAGAGGAAAACTATGGGAGGTTTAGGATGGATACAAGAATAATACTTCAGTATAAAGAGTAAAAGAGGCAAAGACAAAGCTCCTGCCAAGCTTAAATGAATTTATTCTTGCATTGGTGATATTGGGACCTAAATATGGTGGGAAATAATGTTTTGCTTACAAGTACAATTTAGTTAATGGTTTGCTTACCAGAGAAGAAGGTTGCAATGTAGAGACATATTTAGTATGCCTTCTGATTACTTGAACTCCACCTTATAGAGCCATTTGTTAACTGATATTATGTGTTGTTAGATGACTTAGATCAATGATTTATATTCTGGTGCATTTAGTACATTGAGATAATGTGAAAGTTATGATATGCTACCTGGTTATGTATTAGTGTAGAACTCTAGTCATGGGACTAGTTGAGCTTAATCCTTCAAGAAATTCCTTAGTTGGCCTTCCATTAATTTTTAATATTACTGTGAAATTGATTATTTCTAGAGACATGCCTATAATCTGCACCCACAGTAAAGAAGAATATGATTGTAAAACTATATAGAAATTTTGTGAAACTCTTTTGTATTGGTACATAAACCTTGAGAGAATTTAATCTAATAATTTTTTTTTAAATTCAAATTAAACATACAATTTAATCCATTAGCTGATACTGTTGTATACTTTTGTTGAGAAGAAAAATTATATCTTCGCCGCCCTAACCTTCTCCGCTCAATTCCCTCTTGGGTCACTCACACCGCAACTCTTCTCCCTACCTCCCATTCCCTTGATTATAGATTGTCACAATACTTTTTTTTTTTTTTTTTTTTTTCATGTTTGGTAAAATATCATTCAACTTGGCAATAAGAATTGGTAAAAGTTTTGCAGTTGGTCCATACGCTGTCATCCAGAAAGGAAGTGTCTTGGTGGAAGGGACAGGGGTACCAACACTGCAGAAGAACAAAGGCAAACCAAATTCTAAATCCAGCAAATCTAATAGGACTCAGGTGAGAACTTCTTTTAATGCTTCGTCAGCAATTTGGTAGTTGAATCTTCATATTAACAGTTAGCCAATGTTGCAAAAATCGCGCCTAGGCACTAGGCGCCATTGCGCCGCCGCGAAGAAGGCCGAAATCGGCCATCTCCGCGGCCGGCCGCTTAGCCGCCTGAACCGGCGCTTTTAATTTTTTTTTTTTTTTTTTTGAAAATGTCGGAAAACTTTCGGAAGGGGCATAACTTTTGACTCGGTTGTCCGATTTGGACAATTTTTTTTTAAATCGCGTATTTTTTCGAGATCTATACACCGCAAACCGCCGAAGGCGGTTTGGTCCACTAATTTCTCAAAAAAATGCTTCTTTAGCTCTTAATTTTAGTTTTTTTATGTATTTTTAGATGGTTTAAACAATATTTTGAACACTTTTACAACCACTTTCGTAAATAGTTTCTAAGAAATAACTATGGAAACCTTATGTTTTATTACCAAATTTTTAATTTTTAATTTTATTTTTAATTAAAAAAATAAAAATAAAAATAAAAATAAAAATAAAAAATAAAAAATCGGCGCCTAGGCGCTAGACGCCCCCTTGGCGCCTAGGGGGCGCCTAGCGTGTTTTGCAACATTGCAGTTAGCTACTAAAAAGAATGCTAAACATTTTCTTTATTTATTTCGATGCATTAATTAAATTACTGAATATATTAAACATTTGTTTTCTTAAATCTTAAACATATCAGGTTAGTGTTTGGAAATGAAGATGAGAAACTTGCTATTTTAACTTTACTGGCCCGATAGGCCAATATTATAAAATATTCCATATTAAACACAATAATCTCTGTTTATTAATTAATGCATTAACATTTGTTTCTCTAATCATTTCTTATATAAAGTGAATATATACATTTAGAGCCCATACAAGAAATAGGAAGCTAATTAAGCAACTAGAGGTAGTGGTCAAGCATATCTTCATTCAAGACTTATTTGCAGATCAGATTAGAGCATTGGTTTTAATTGACTCAACTAAACTATTTTCCAACTTTATTGGTTATATCACTCTTTCTGCTGTTAACTTGTTAATTGATCAGTTTCTAACGTAGACCTTTTGAATTATAATTTCTAGAGATATGCATGTAATCTGAAATTTGTTTTTCATTTGATGTGTAGGTATGCCACGATCCAAAAGGTTCATGGATAATAGTCGGCCAATATCTCAACAACTATCCTCTTCATCAACACACGAGCAATCGTTGAATGATGCAAATCAAGAACAAATTCAGCATAATGAAACACCATTGATTTCATTTAACTATTTAGAGTCGAGCCTTGAAATTTATACTATGAAATGTAGGTACCCGATGAAGGAAGCAAGCAACAATCTTCACAAGGGAGTGGAAAAGCAAAATTCATCCGCTAGTCATCATGTTAATGGACAATCTTCTACATGATATGCAACTGTAAGTAGTTTCATACAATTAACAATCTTCTACATGATATGCAACTGTAATTACTAATGTTGAAGCTAGGAAATCCTTTGCATTCTTAATCTATCCTGGGGTTCATTTTAAGGTTCTGCAGTTTCTGGGCAATGTAGGACTGCAGATTGGTCATTGGTTGTTGTTAAGGCAACTCTCTTCATTGTGACTTACCTTGTCTGCAACTGCTTATACACTCCCTATAGTCATCACTTACAAAAATGGCAAAAGACAGAGATGTCCAGTTGACTGTGAAGGTTGGAATTATATAACTAATAAAATAGCAAACAATTGCACATTTTCTATTTACATGGACTTCTTATTCTAGAGTGGTAGAAACCGGCTATGAAAATTTATTGGTAGATGTGATGATACAGTACTGATATCCTAATTGGACACTGTCATCTTTTATGGTTTTTCTTGATAATGCTTGGGCTGATGTTTGTTGTTAAATGTGCAAGGTTGCAGAGGGACTCACAGTTGATAAGATACTTGAAAACTGGATGAAGATAAAACCTGTAATAGTGGAAGAATGGAATGAAAACAGAGATGCTTTAATTGATCTTTTTGGTAAAGTCAGGAATGAGTGGATGGACAATGATTTGTCTACTTGGATTGGTGCAAACATGCAAGTCTTCTTTGCAGTGCCTAAGTAGATGACATCGAACTGCATAGCTCAAATTGCATCAAGAAATGCCAGAACACATCAAGAAATGCCAGAACACTAGGGAAGGTGATAGGGACAAATTTAGCTCCCAAGTGATCTTATGTTATTTTGACTATTTGTACAAATTTAATGTTGTTGCTCTTTTTTTCTCAGAACTATTGGCTTCTTTTTATTTTTTTGAGAACACTAGTTATTTGTTACAATTATTTGACAAAGATTAGTTATAATTGATTTTCTTTCTAATTAATGTGTATATAGAGTTTATTTGTGATTGCAATATAAAGATTTTTGAAGAAATATAATTAAATGATAATTATAAAAATATAATAATGTAATTATAAAAAATTTAGCGACACTTATTAACTGTCACTAAAATTTTTAAAAATAAATAAAGAAACAATTTAGCGACAATTACAAACTGTCACTAAAATTTTAAAAAATAAATAAATAAATCATTTAGCGGCGGTTACAAAATCGCCGTTAAAATTTATTCAAATACTAGTTTTTTACGAGGATAATGCCCAATGTTTTTCTTAAATAAGTATTTTAAAGTATATCAATGCAAGATTATATTGGAATTGTTCATGCATAGATAATGAATGTTGAATTTGCGTACTTAAATTGATAATTCTAAGTTTACAAATGCAAGATAATATAGTCAAGATTGATTATAATTGTCAATAAAATAATTGTATGGGTATGGTTGAAACCAAATACGGGATATAAGGGAGAGCAAATAAAAATTAAAACATAAAATATTAAATATATATTAATATTGAATATATACTAATATTGTTTGAGGAGATTCCGGCAGTAGGAGCGTTATGTTGTGAGCACGTGCCCACCTTGCAAGGTGGGCACGGTAAGGTGGGCACGGTTCCATATCCATAATTTCTATACTGTAGATTCATAATTTCTATACTGTAGATTCATAATTTCTATACTTTTGATTCATAATTTCTAAACTGTAGATTCATAATTTAAATACAGTAGATTCATAATTTCTATATATTAGATTCATTATTTCTATACTGCAGATCTGTACTGTAGATTTATAATTTCTGTACTGTAAATTCATAATTTCTAAACGGTATAGTTATCAATTATGAACATATAGTTCTCTGATTTGTGAAAACAGAGTTCAACAATTGGAATCTAAAGTATAAATTTTATGAATCTACAGTATAGAAATTATGGATATACAGTATAGAAATTATGGATATGGAACCGTGCCCACCTTGCAAGGTGGGCACGTGCTCACAGCATAATTTGCCGGATTTGTGGTTAGAGTTGTATTAAGACTTTAATATTAGAATTAGATTAATGTTGTAGTTATAATTCTATATTAGACTTTAATATTAGAATTAGACTAACGGTGAATTAACGGTACTTAATTGAAAAGTTAACGGATCGAATAATCATATAATTAAGGATAAATTAGAAAATCTCAAGGAAAAATAAAAATCTGAACAATCTGAACTATTCATTTGATTTAGTAATTTGATGGTCATTTTTTATATCCAATGTTTATAATTAACTAAATATTTGAAAGTATATCAATGCATAATATATGAGAAGTTCAACATAAGTAATTTAATGTCTAACTTGTTTATTTAAATATGTAATTCATAGTATATGAATACAATGTACTATAGGAGATTCATTATAATTATTACTAAAAAAATTTTAAATAGTAACTAAATATTTTTGTTGCAAGGGGTTCTAATATATTTAATGGATGCGCATAATACAAGATCAATGAATAACTCAACGGTGCTAATCCTTTAGGTGTTTTGCTCAGTGTTCATTTAGTTCAACTATTATTGTTGAATAAATTATTATGGATAAAGAAGTTCCTAATTAAAGGAATTTAGATGTATTAGTGGCTTGTGGTCTATTGGTATCTGGTTTGGTCTCATATATGGGAGGTTTAGTGTTTGAGCCTTAGTATAGGCGAAAAGAGTATATGTGGGTGTCCTTAAATTTTTGTTATTATTATGCCTTTAGGTCATTTTAAATATCTAATTTTTTCAAATATCTTTTTACCAACAGTTGATATAATTCGCTGGTCAAATCCGCTAATATAATCCCCTAACGCTAACCGCTAACGGCTGATTGTCAAACAAGGACATTGCGAGGTAGTTTCTCATTTCAATTTGTTGTGTGATTTGAATACTCTCTTTATCAACAAATCCTTCAAATAGTTAATATGATTGACTTTATTAATTTAAAATTTTTAAATTTTTTCATGGTATTAATAAAATAGTTGGTAAATAAATATATAACATTATTTTGTATTATAACTTTGATATTTAATTAAAAAATAGTGCAGAAAAAAGATAATAGACAATGTAGTGATGAATATAATCAATTCATGAATTTGAATGTAAAGAATTTTTACATTGGAGAAAAAAAAGACAATATACTAGTGAAATTATTTCTCTTAATTAATTTATTGATAATGAATAATTTTTTTTAAATAAAGACATTGTAGGGACAATGTAGCGAATATAATCAATTGATGACTTTGAATTTTGAATGTAAATAATTTTTATATTAGAGAAAAATAAAGACAATATAAGTAATGAAATTATTTCTCTTATTTAATTTATTAATAATGAATAATTTTTTTTAATAAAGGCATTGTAGACACATAATTCTAAATTAAAGAAATGCATATGTATTATTTTTTGTTATAGCTACTAAATTATTGTTTAATTCAATAAGAGTAAAATAGAGTACTAATTATGCCAACTTTGATTGAATGTAGTTCGAACCTAAGACCTTTTTTATTGAAATCAATGAGTAAGTTAACGGTGAAATTAACGGAAAAAGATAATATTTAACGAAAAAGTTAACGAAAAATCATATTCATTAAGGATAAATTAGAAAATCTTAAAGAAAAATTAAAATCTGATCAATATGAGCCATTCATTTGATTAAAAAATTTGACTACCATTTTTTTTACCCATTATAGGCCTAACTCTATTGGGCTCTTATTAGTATATAGTAGAAATATATATATATATATATATATATATATATATATATATATATATATATATATATATATATATATATATATATATATATATATATATGGAAGGGTTCAGATGCGGGTATAGCTTCCCGTGCGGTTGTGCGGTTAAATCTGAGCAGTTGATCAAATTTAGATCAACGGCTCAAATCAATGAAAATTAAAAAAGAAAAAAAAAACGCATGCCTGGAACAAAGAAGTATAAGCTAAGGTGCACCTTAAGTGTTAGATCTGAATCACAAACTCACGCACTTTAAGTACAAAACCCACACACATTAAGCACAACCTCACGCACATTAAGCACAAAACCCACGCACTTTAAATATTAACTCACAGACTTTAAGTTTCAACAACTACTGACATTAAGTACAAAACTCACGCACATTAAGTACAAAACCCACGCACATTAAGCACAAACATCACGCACATTAAGCACAAAACTCACGCACTTTAAGTATTCACTCAGAGACTTTAAGTTTTAACAACTATTCACGTTAAGCACATCCCCACGCACATTAAGCACAAACCTCACGTACATTAAGCACAAAACACACGCACATTAATCACAGATCCACTCACCTTAATTTTGACCTAGATGCAAAAACTACAAAATTGTCACCGCGTTTTTTTTTTAAACTTTGATAATCATGGACGTTGATTAAAGCGAGATGAATGACTCAGATTAAACCGCACAACCGCACCTGAAGCCCTCAGCCGCACGAGAACCTAAATATATATATATATATATATATATATATATATATATATATATATATATATATATATATATATATATATATATAGTGGAGGTTACAAAACCGCCGCTAAATGCTTCGCGACGCACTATTTAGACACGGTTGAATAACCGCCGCTAAACATACTAGTGGCGGTTTGTAACCGCCGCTAAATGCCTGATTTGGTGTAGTGTCCAATTATCACATATAGAACAGAACACAAAACAAAACAAAACAAAAGCATCAATATGGTCTCCACTTCTAGCATTTCGTCCTAAAGCACAATACATACGTTATAGAGTACAATAGAGTTACCTGGTGTGCGACTATTGCCACCTAAACCTCTCGAATCCATGAACGCGCTTCGTTCTTCCACCATAATCTCACTTCTCACTTCTTTTAATTCAAAGATTAGGGTTCGGTTTGAAGGAGGGAAATTGAGATTTTTGTTCTTCGACTGGGAGCGTATTTAGGAGACTGAATTTTTGGGATTATGCTTTTACATTCACTCATCGCGTGGAGTGACGATATGCGATCAATTATACATATGCTTTTACAATATACGGTCGATAATACATATGCAAATGGAGTGACAAATTTACCCCTTCCATTTAACCGTACATTGATGAAAGGACCACTATTGAAAAGAAATTGAAAGTCAAAGGACCTAAGATGTCCAAATTAAAAGTCGAGAATTAATTTTGAAAAATCATAATAGTTAGAGGACCATTGCTGAAATTAGCCTGTTATATATATATATATATATATATATATATATATATATATATATATTTATTACAAGTATTAATTACTAAAATTAATTGTATTTTTATATAAATATTAACATAAAGTTATTAACTATATATTTGATAAACTTTATAACTTAATAATATTATAATTACAAAATAAAAAAATATTACATGTAAACTATATTACTATTAAATATAAATTAAATAAATTACAATCATATATTAAAATTTAATATATATATATAAATATATATATATATATATATATATATATATATATATATATATATATATATGTGTGTGTGTGTGTGTGTGTGTGTGTGTGTGTGTGTGTGTGTGTGTGTGTGTGTGCGCGCAACCATTCATGGTATTTATTCAAAAGGTTTAATGTGATTGGTTGGGTATAGTTTTAGTTGTTAACTTAAAGGTCGTAGGTTCGGTTCCTAAGCTATATAACATTAAAAATTTTAATAATATACTTTAAAAAATTTTAAAAACGAGCTGACGGGCTGACTCGTTAAGCCCGTCCAACACGGGTTGGGTTGATAAAATTCAAACTCATGTAAAAATGGGTCGGCCCGTTTCGTGTTGAACTCGAGACGGGTCAACCCGTATTTAACCCTTCAACCCGTCCAACACGAGTTGGGTTGGGAAAATCTCAACCCGCGTAAAAATGGACCGGCCCGTTTCTTGTTGAACTCAAGACGGACCAGCCTGTAAGGACTGGGTTAGCCCGTTTTGACAGCTCTTCACTATAAGAACGGTTATTTTTCTAACCAGAATTAAATAACTTTTAATGAAATTTTCTCTAAACATAAAATAATATTTTAAGTTCACAACTCCCAAAATATTATTTAATTTTAATAACATGTATGAAGTTTCATAAACATACATTTATTTGTCCAAAGTACTTACGAGATCCCTGTACTATAACATTTTGTTCAATTTAGTCTTTATACATTTTTTTTTTTTGTACATCTGAATCCTTGTAGTTTAAAATTGGTACAATTAAGGACAATAGTTAACAGTGTTAATATTATCGTTAACTTAGGTTACATGGCACTGCGATATTTGTATCCCTATTCATATATTACTTTATAAGTATTTAAAATTAATTATTTATACCACTAATATATTAATTTAGTATGTCCAAAATAAATAATTATAACCATGTTCCTAATGAGATTTAGACAATTGTCTTTAGTTTCATCACATCTTAAAGTATATGGACTAAATTAAACAGAATAAAAGTACAAGTATTAAATTGGTACATGCACTTCATAGATACTTTGATCCATTTATTTAATAAATGTCCAACACTTAATTACTAATTCTTGAAGAGTTCCAAGCAGTGTTCTTGATCCAAATTCCGGCTCCAGAACTTCTTGTAATATTCGTCGTAGGTGAAATTCCGATAAACAGCCGGAGACCCATCGTCGGAGAGTTGCTTTGGCGCACTGATCACCGCATCATCGCTGGGGCAAAGAAATGAAGCTACCGACATTCTTTCTCTGTCAGAGTTCACCACAGCTCTGTGCCATACACTCTTATACTTGCCATTGCTCAGTGCCTGTATGCATTTTCTTAATTATATTGCTATTTATATTGGCCCTATGTGGTAAATAACTATTAGCTGAATGTGTTAATTAGAGAGTATAACTAATTGATAACATTAACTGATTGTAAAAAGATGTTTAGTAAATTAGTTGTTAGCTGAGTGATATAATTTGTATTTTTTTTTCAAAAAGTTAATTAAAAAAGTTGTTTTGAGCAGCTTTTTAAATTCTAACATTTTAAAGTTACAAAAAGCTAATTAATCAAATATTTATATAATTTTTTAACCAAGTCAAATAATTAATAGTGGTCAAAATTGACGGATAAGCTAACTATTTTACCAAACAGCCATTATCACAATAATAATAATAATAATCAGAGTCCACAAAAATACTTATTAATTACCTGCAGTTGATCACCAAGGTTGATAACAAAGGCATCTGGGTGAGGTTTCACAGCCAACCATTTGCCATCCTTGAGGACTTGGAGGCCGGAAACCTGTGAGTCTTGAAGGAGAATGGTGAGGGCATTGGGGTCAGTATGCGCCGGCAAGCCGTAAGTGAGCTCCGGCTCCGGGCACGGTGGGTAGAAGTTGACGGCCATATGCTGACCCTGCTCGCCCAACACCTCCCGGATGCTATTCTTTTCCAGGCCTAAGCTTTCTGATATGGCTTCTTCTACCCTAAATCCAAGTTCTCGAACTTCCTTCACATAATTGCTCACAATAGCCCTGTATAGTATATGGATGCACCAACACTTTTCCTTAGCAACAATATCAAAATTAGGATTAAAAGATAAATTTTTTTTTTATAATAATGGCTTGTACTAGTGTACTTTGCAAGGTTGCAAGGTTGTACCTTGTGCATTGCAAGTCGTATGCTCTTTATATGTATCATTAACAAAATACAAGGTATAACTTTACAAAATATATGACATTATAACTTACCACATTTCAAAACTTTCAGATAAAACACTAAGCCATTAAAATAAAGGTTGCAATTAATGGGTTTAGTTGTTAACAAATTGGTTAGCGTTAGCAGTTAGCCCATAGTTTTCGCCCGATTCACTAAGGAATATTTTGGTTGCTTTGGCGGATTGCTTACTACTATGTTGGATCGGATGTCAACCTGTGGAGGCACCATTTGTTACTATTGGACAAATTTCTCTGAATTACATGAGTGGTTTTTATCAAGAGATTATATTAATAGTTTATTAAAAGATGTTTGGAAGTATTAGGACTCTATTATTATTAGTATTCGTTACCTATTGTTACTAGTGTTAGTCTTGTATTAGGTTTGCTATTCGCTACTATATATATTCCTGTACAAACTTATTATCTGATTCATTCAGAAATATTATATCCTCATCTGGTATTAGAGCCAGATCTGCTCCGGCGAAGGCCACTCGGCCGCTTCGTGCTATCGTCGTTATGATGGCGCTCCGGGGCCGCGGGCACATGTTGCATATTCTGTTGATGATTCGGCTTCGGTTAATCCTCAGCAGTGGTTTCCTAACACTGGTGCGTCGAATCATGCCACTCCGGATCCGTCTTTAATGTCCTCGGCGGTTCCTTATAGTGGTCCGGACCATCTTCGTGTTGGTGACGGTAAGTGTTTACCTATTGTTAGTACTGGTTCATCTTCGTTAGCCGCATCTAAAACACTGTTTCGATTGTCTGATGTTCTTCATGTTCCTGGGCTTTCTGCGTCTTTATTGTCTGTGCAACGGTTTGCTCGTGATAATAATGTCTTTTTTGAGTTTCACCCTGATTGTTTCTTTGTGAAGGATCGTTCAACCAGGGAAGTTCTATATAAAGGGCCGGCTTCGGGGGGTCTCTATTCTTGGCCTGTCTCTCGTTCAAGTCCCGCTGCGTTTGTGGCCTCTCGAGTCTCCTCTGACATGTGGCATAGCCGGTTGGGTCATCCACACCCGCGTATCTTGCGGCAGATTTTAAATTCATGTTCTATTCAGTCTAGTTTTAGTGATACTTCGGAATTGTGTCGTGCTTGTATGCTTGGGAAATCCTCACGGTTTCCCTTGCCTCGTGTCAATACTACTACGTCTCATGTTTTAGAACTTATATATACTGATATTTGGGGCCCAGCGCCTTTTCTTTCCGTCAATGGCTTTCGTTATTTTGTTTTGTTTGTTGATGACTATACGCGCTATGTATGGTTTTATTCTATGCGTTTGAAAACTGATGTGTATGCTATCTTCGAGCAGTTTCGTTCACTAGTTGAGCGTTCATATGGTCGTAAGATTGTCTATATTCAATCTGATTTAGGGGGAGAGTATAAACGGTTGCACCGTACTTTTGTCTCTTTGGGTATTAATCATAGGCAGTCTTGTGCCTATACCCATGAGCAGAATGGTAGAGTTGAGTGTCGGCATCGTCACGTTGTGGAAACGGGTTTGGCTCTCTTGGCCCAGGCTTCGGTTCCACAACGATATTGGGATTATGCCTTTGAGACTGCGGTCTATCTCATCAATAAGATGCCGACTCGGGTTTTGGATAATGATAGTCCTCATTCTCGGTTGCATCGTTCTAGTCCTTCTTACTCTTTCTTGCGTGTGTTTGGCTGTCTCTGTTATCCTCTGTTACGCCCGTATAATCGTAACAAGTTGCAGTATCGGTCTTCTCCGTGTGTGTTTCTTGGTTATCCGTCTTCGTTTCGTGGCTATCGTTGTTTTGATCCTGCTACTAACAAGGTATTCATTTGCCGTCATGTGTGGTTTGATGAAACCATATTTCCATTTGCTTCTTCTGTCCCCTCTCAGGTCTCTAGCTCTCGCCCGATTGAGCCGTGGGGTGTTGGCGCCGTTCAGGTTGGCGCGAGCTCCGGTGTTTGTTCTGCTGGGCCGGATCCTCGTCCGGAGATGGACACGGATTCCGGGGCTGCTGGTGCTGCTTCTGATTCCCGCACCGAGACTGCCGTGGCTCCAGATGTGGCAGTCTCGGGTGCTCCTAAGGCGCCCAAGCGAGGTCGGCGCGCGGTAAAACCGGTTCCACCTCGGTCTCATGTTATGGCGACTCGTTCTTTGGGGCCGACGCAGCATGTGGCTCTTATGACTGTTTCTGAGCCGACCTGTTATTCTCAAACAGTTCGGTATCCGGAATGGCGTGAGGCCATGGATCTTGAGTTTAATGCCTTGCTCCAGAATCACACTTGGCGTCTGGTTAGTCGCACACCTGGTATGAATGTTGTAGGCTGCAAATGGGTGTTCAGGACGAAGCGCAAGGCTGATGGCACGATTGAGCGGCACAAGGCTCGGTTGGTGGCTAAGGGGTTTAATCAAGTCGCAGGACAGGACTTTTTTGAGACCTTCAGTCCTGTTGTAAAACCCACAACCGTGCGGCTTCTAATCTCCTTGGCTGTCTCTCGCGGTTGGGTAATTCGGCAGTTGGATGTTCACAACGCCTTTCTGAATGGTAATCTTGTAGAGACAGTCTACATGCGACAGCCGCCTGGCTATGAGGACTCGTCACGACCGGATGATGTATGCTTATTACAGAGGTCACTCTATGGTCTTAAGTAGGCTCCTCGCGCATGGTTTAACAGGTTACATGCTTTCTTGGTGTCGGTTGGTTTTTCACCTTCAAAGACTGATGTCTCTTTATTCATATACACTCGTGACTCTGTATCTTTATATGTGCTTGTTTATGTGGATGATATCCTTGTTATGGGATCTGATGCTTCGCGTGTTACTCGGCTTCTGACTGACTTAGCCTCGGAGTTCAAGATTCGTGACATGGGTGCTCCGTCTTTTTTTTTCTGGGCATTGAGACGGTCTCTCGTGGTGATGGTTTGTTTCTTTCTCAACAGCGATACATGCGAGATATCTTGAGTCGTGCAGGTATGGTGGACTGCAAGCCGTTGGCTACTCCGGTGCCTGTGACTCGACCCGTTTCTGAATCTGTTGTTCCTTATGCTGATCCCACGCAGTATCGCAGTCTTGCTGGGGCTCTGCAGTATCTTACTGTCACTCGCCCAGATTTATCTTTTGCTGTGAATCGGGTCTGTCAGCATATGCACTCCCCGACCACTGAGCATTGGGCAATGCTCAAACGTGTTCTGCGATACGCTAAATGCACTTTGCATTTTGGTCTGTTTATTCACCCATCCTCCTCTGTTGCAGTGCATGCTTTTTCGGATTCGGACTGGGCTGGGGACCCCGCTGACAGAAAGTCTACTAGCGGCTTTGCGGTTTTTCTTGGTGACAATCTGATCTCTTGGTCTTGCCGGAAGCAACGTACAGTTGCTCGTTCGTCTACAGAGGCCGAGTACAAGGCACTAGCTGACGTGTCTGCTGAGGTCACCTGGTTGGTTTCTCTATTATTGCATGAACTTCGGTTGCCGTTGGCAGCTCCTCCCACTCTCTGGTGTGATAATCTGGGTGCAACTTATCTCTGTTCCAACTCGGTGTTCCATGCTCGTACGAAACATGTGGAAATTGACTATCACTTTGTTCGTGACAAAGTGGCAAAGAAAGAGTTGCAGGTTAGCTTCATTTCTACTAAGGATCAGCTGGCTGACGTGTTCACTAAAGCTCTCCCTGGTCCGCGTTTCTCTACTCTGTGTGGCAAGCTCAATGTTGTAGCTAGTCCACCTTGTGCTTGAGGGGGAGTATTAGGACTCTATTATTATTAGTATTCGTTACCTATTGTTACTAGTGTTAGTCTTGTATTAGGTTTGCTATTCGCTACTATATATATTCCTGTACAAACTTATTATCTGATTCATTCAGAAATATTATATCCTCATCGGAAGAAGTTTATATACAGATGTTTGATAATACTTGTTTAACATTAACGATTAATGTATAAATAAAAATACTTATAAAGATGTATACATTTTACAACAATAATTAATGTATAATTCTTACGTGACCGCGATCCTAAAAATTTATTACAAAATTATTTGTTATAAAATATATTAAAAGGTGAAAAAAAAACTAAATTAATTTTTTTTGGTATATGGGCCAGGATAGATCCAAATTTTTATTGTAGGACTCAACTCATCCAGCCCAATTGAACTATAAAAAAAAAAATTTAGAAAAAAAAGCCTAAAATTTTAAAAATAAAATTTGGGCTATGAGCTGGCTAAGCCTAGATTTGTATTTTTGGCAAATTATACGGTGGAATCGTATCCATCTTGCAAGGTGAACACGGTTCTAAAACTGTTCATAATTATAAATATATAGTTCAAAAATTATAAACATATAGTTCTATAATTATAAACATAGAGTTGTGAACATAATTATGAATATATAATTCTGTAATTATGAATATAAAAATTCAATAATTGTGAATATGAAGTTCAAAAATTATGAATATATAGCTTTATAATTATGAACATATAGTTCACTAATTATGAACATAGAGTTCTGTAATTGTGAATATAGAGTTCAATAATTATGAATATGAAGTTAAAAAATTATGAATATATAGCTTTATAATTATGAACATATAATTCAGTAATTATGAACATAAAACCGTGTCCACCTTGCAAAGCATAACGATTGTGTATTTTTTGGTCTAAACCGATATGAACGAACTATATAAATTAGACAAAAAAGAAAGGGGGTCATTACACTCAATAATTTAACCGATTGTATTCAATTACATTAAAATGCATATTATAATTATCTGATAATTACACTTTGCTCCATCATTCATCCAAACTCCCTAATTTTCTTCGCATACGTTTCGATATTCAAATAATAATTTAAAAAAAAAAAATCTGTCTTTTTCATACACATAAGCATATGCTATCAATTTCAATGCCGGATGCTCCAAGAGATCAACATTTTCTAGTATAATGTAGCATAGTCCACACAAATTATGTGGACTATGTTATCTTTGGTTTTCTAAGGAATACTAGGGATATTGAATACTAATTTATGTTTATTGAAATGTTCAAAGACATAAATCGTTATCGTTCTAATTTGTACTCAATGTACCTTGACAAAACATTAGGAGAAAAATTCAAAGGAAAAATAGCATTTTCCTTTGCCTAATTACTATGGGTCTACTTGTCATTGTGATGGTGTTTGGTAGTTAAGAAACTTCAAACTTTATTGCGAATTGAATTTAAAACTTGGAAATAGTGCAATCTAGTTTTGAAAAGTTTAGGCCAATAAAAATATAATTTCATGATATCAAGAAAAGTAAATTTCACTCATGAGAAGTATGTATGATTCTTTTTTTTCGGAAAATCTTCCGAATTTATGCAATTACATACTTGTTTATTCTTTTTAACGCTAGGTGAAGAGTGTATTATAAATATATGAAATTTGTCATTACAATCATTACAAAAAATTAAAATATTTTTAAATCTTAAATTATCTTTTAAAATTTTTTTTTTTCAAAAAATATTTTTTAAGTTCTTAAACGGACCTAAAACATATCACATAATCCGTAAAATAAATAGAATATTATTGAAATATACTCCGTGTCTAAAAAGTACTATGTCATGCTATATTGGTCCCTACCATTTTATTTTAAGTAAAATATTATATGTATATTTTTTAATTCTTAATTTTTATTTTCTGCTTTGAAAATTCACGTAATATAACTATTATTTTAATTTGAAATGTCAAGAAACACGGCAAACCTATCGTGCTGTCACATGATTTAACTGCACAAATCACGTCACCGCCACAACGTCACTACCTAGGCCAATTAAAACGCGTTTTATCTTTCCTACGTGGCATCCAACGTCACGACCCACGCCATCTGCTGTCTTCACGGCTTGCGTCATCCACGTGCTGCCAAAAAATGTCTAGAAGCCGTGACCTGACACACCCTATGCCGGGCACGACCTTTCAGACAAACGCCGTTGGCATTTTCTTCAAAAAAAATATTCCCAATCTCCATTTAATAAATTATGGAAAATACCATTTGGTTATATAATGATTTACTATATATTCTAATATTACCTACAAGGGTTAATTGCGTGATTTGCGCTTACAATACAATTCTATCATTCTAATTTCACCATAGAAATTCAAATTATTGATCTAAATTATTTTTATGCATCATATTATGATATTATTATAATATAACGCGTTTTTAATATTATTGAATTTTCATATCATTATTATATGTTAAAATAAAAACACTTGGGTGTGATATTATACTATTTTATGGGTGACGAAAGAAATCCGCAACCACTGTGATCCAAACCACGTGTGAAAAGACTACAAAGAGTTAAACAAGTTAGGTTGTCCATAACTGATCGACTTAAATTAAAATGAAAAGATAAAGATTTGAACTCGTAATCTTGTGATTACAAATTTATATGTTTAGTCATTTTGGTTGAATTACCTTACTCTTTTTTTTTGTTTTTTGTTTTTTGTTTTTTTTTTTTTTGAAGTAAGATGTGTGTGATGTACTTGGGTTGTTACCTACAGCAAATCAAGAAATAAATATTAAACAATAATGCGACCAGATCAGAAAGAGTCACATGTTTGGGGACCATATGATAGGGACACGGTTACAAATTTATTGTGGTGTGGTTAAATTAGGAGGGCTGGATTCCAAATTTTAAAATTGATTTTCAAATTTTTAGTATAAAGTGTTTTGAAAAAGATTACTTTAATCAGCACATATTCGGGTGTTCATGGGTCTAATCTGGTGGATTCAGACAATGCTTTTTACCAACCAAAAGTGTTAGTTGGTGCTAAAGTAATCAGGAATATCAAGCAAAGACACAAATCTATTACTTAATTCCTTAATTAGCAATTAAATATTGACAAATAAAAATGTTAATAGTGTAATGATTTCATAATTATTATATTAGTGTCCCACAACATATAAAAAACTTTAAAAATCTTGACTATAATGGGATTATTTTAAGGTATATCAGTCTAGACAAGGTACAGTTTTCCTTACGTGAAAACAACTGCATGTTATGTGTTGCATGGGGAACCCTAATTTATAGACCCTTTCACATCCAAATTGCACAAATAATTGCATGGAACCCAAATTGGACTTGATTGGGAAACAGAAAATGAAGAAAATTAGAGGACTGACCTGAAAGAAGAGGGGTTTGAAGGCCATTCTGGAGAGTATTTCTCCAATGGGTGGCAATGAAGTCTAAGGTAATCTCTCCAGTTATGAACAGTTTCTTTTTTGACATTAAAACTGGTTGAAAGCCTCATGGTTTTTGATGGGTCATCAGAGTAGAGCTTCATTTTCTCCTCTACGGGCAACTGGAAAAATTCTTGGGCTACTTTTAACATGTCCTCTATGGCTTTCTTTGGTACCCCATGGTTTATAACCTTAATTTTAAAATAATAATGTTAATAATTAGCGATAAGTACAAGGAAATGCGACATTGTCGGTCCAAAATTAAATGGCTTGTCGGAAATTTGAAAATTGACCTGGAAAAATCCATATTCGGAGCAGGCTTCCGCTATTTCTTTGACTATCAGGGCTCGTTCTCCGCAGCCCAAGTCGATGACCGGAACATCGTTGCAGACGGCGACCTCCGATAGCCTCGGCCGGTCGGGTTCTGGCCGGACGTAGCTTTCAGGGAGGGAAGAGTACCGGGTTCCGTTGGATAGGACTTTGGCTTCCATGGATTCCGGTACAAAGTAACATAAAAACAAGAATTTCAAGACAAGATTTTCATAAGGAAAAAAAAAAAAAAAGTAAAACAAGGAGAACTGGAGAGGTGCACTTTTACTTCGGATTCGGATTGTAACTAGAGAACTACTTTGTGTACTCTAGCTTAAGTAGCTTCGACCAAATCCTGAGGGCAAGCAATTCATTTTTCTCAATGCTAGGTTCCGCTAGGGCACTTTATATATATAGTAACTAGTAAGAGCACCTCCCATTGTTTTTTGTTTTTTTTTTTTTTTGTTTTTTGTTTTTTTGTTTTTTTGTTTTTTTGTTTTTTTTTTTTTTGTTTTTTTTTTTTGGTTTGTTATGTGTTAATTAGGGGAGAGATGAGGGAGAGAAAAACGAGGAGGAAAAGAAAAAGAAAAAACAAATCTGACAAATTTTTAAAAATAAAAATAAAATAACAATTCTAAACGCGTAGGTCGGGCGCAGAGTTTCCCTGAACGTACGGAGTGCACGTCACTTTGGTCAATAGGTGGGCCCCACAAAAAAACATAATTTGCAGAGAAAAACTCCAAAATTCCATCTTCTCATTTGTTAAAAATCCCTATTTAGTTTTTCCTCGGCAAAAATCCAAAAAATGCATTGATGTAGATGCATTAAATTCGTAATTTAGGCTTAATGAGAAATTCAAAAAATAAATAAATCTATGTATCTATGTATCTATGTATCTATCTATAATAATAGAAGTGCCTAGCCAAGTTCTCCCCCCCTCCCCCCACCAAATTTAAGGACATATTTGTCAAACTAAACTCATAATTAATTTAAATAAAATCATTGATAATATTGTCTGCCATCTTTATTTCAAAAATTACGGACAAATTATTTCATTCATAATTAATTTAGATAAAATCATTGATAATATTGCCTGCAATCTTTATTTTCAAAATTACAGACAAATTATGTCATTTATAATTAATTTAGATGAAATTATTGATTTAGTCTCCAACAAAATTATGGTGCAATCTTTATTTCCAAAATTACGGACAAATTATTTCATTCATAATTAATTTAGATGAAACCATTGATAATATTGCCTGCAATCTTTATTTCCAAAATTACGGACACGTTATGTCATTCATAGTTAATTTAGATGAAATCATTGATTTAGTCTCCAACAAAATTACGGTGCAATCTTTATTTCCAAAACTACGAACAAATTATTTCATTCTCCAATATGTTGGCAATTCTCTCCAATATGATGCCAATCCTCATATGGTTAGTGGTTACCCCATTTTAGTCTCCAACAAATATTCACCGTGATGTTATTGTTGGGAAGAAAGCTCGCAAGAATATATAATTAGCGCAATGAAAATAAATAAACGGCACCAAGAAGAACACCAAGAAGTTTAACGTGGAAAAACCTCCTCAAGGCAAGGAGTAAAAAACCACGGGCACAAGCCAGTAAACCTTCCACTATATAGATAATGGGTACAATAAAGGAGGCTTCTCTAATTCAACGATTAGAGGCAACACAAAATACAAGAGAAAATAACATACCTCGAGGCACAAGAATTTCTACGAAATCCACCAACTTCTTCTCGGCTAATTTTCTCACACTTGTATATCTCAACAAATTTTCTCTCCTCTCTTTTTCTTCTTCTTGAACTCTCTCATGTCCAAGGTAGCCAAATCCATGGCCTTTATATAGGCTTTACAAAGCCAACTCTTTTGTCTTTTCATTTGCCCACTTTAATCTCCCATTAAGTGGACATGAATGAAGCCATTAATCAAAAAACCTTTCACTTCATCTTCCAAGCTTAATTGTTAAGCTTTTGGTCACCACCCTACCCACATTGGTGGGACCATCTAGCAACAAATTCCCCCTCACGCCAATGTGGGAGGGACTTGCATCCCTGCAGCTGAACGACATATCTCAAGCTTTTTCCTTGGTAATGACTTTGTTAACATGTCAGACCCATTTTCATCTGTATGGATCTTTACAAGTTGTAACTGGTTCATCTCCAAAACATCTCGTATCCAGTGATATCTTACATCGATATGTTTCGATCTTGAATGGAAAGAGGAATTCTTACCAAGGTGTATAGCACTCTGACTATCACAAAATAACTCATATTTGTCTTGTTTGATCCCGAGTTCTTGAAGAAATTTCTTCATCCATAGCAACTCTTTACAAGCTTCAGTTGCTGCAATAAACTCAGCCTCTGTGGTAGAAAGTGCAACACACTTTTGTAACTTAGACTGCCATGATACTGCTCCCTCTGCAAATGTTATTAGATATCCCGAAGTCGACTTTCTAGAGTCAATGTCACCTGCCATGTCTACATCTGTGTATCCAACCAACATAGACTTACTAGAACCAAAACATAAGCATAATTTAGAAGTACCTCTAAGATATCTGAAAATCCATTTAACAGCCATCCAATGTTCCTTGCCAGGATTAGAAAGGAACCTACTGACAACGCCAACTGCATGAGCAATATCTGGCCTTGTACATACCATAGCATACATTAAACTACCAACTGCTGAATTGTAAGGGACTTGTTGCATACTTGCCTTTTCTTCCTCTGTAGAAGGACTTTGCTTACTACTTAATTTAAAGTGATTAGCAAGAGGAGAACTAACCACTTTAGCATTGTCCATGTTAAACCTACAAAGTATTTTCTCAATGTACTTCTCCTGAGATAACCACAACTTTCTGGCATTCCTGTCTCGTGTAATTCTTATCTCAAGAATCTGTTTTGCTGGCCCCAAGTCTTTCATAGCAAAAGACTTGCTCAACTGTTCCTTTAGTTGATTAATTCTAGAAGCACTCTTGCCGAAGATCAACATATCATCAACGTACAACAGGAGAATAATAAAATCATCATCAGAGAGTTTTTGAAAGAACACACAATGGTCAGAAGTAGTCTTCATGTAACCTTGCTTCGCCATAACTGACTCAAACTTCTTGTACCACTGCCTTGGTGCCTGTTTTAAGCCATATAGACTCTTCTTTAGCTTACAGACATAGTCCTCTTTTCCCTTGACTTCAAACCTTCTGGTTGCTCCATGTATATTTCTTCATCCAAATCACCATGAAGAAAAGCTGTCTTTACATCCATTTGCTCAATTTCTAAATCTAGGCTGGCTGCTAGTCCAAGAACAACACGGATGGAAGACATTTTAACAACTGGAGAAAATATCTCATCAAAGTCAATACCTTTTCTCTGGTTGAATCCCTTGACAACCAGTCTAGCTTTGTACCTTGGTCGTGAGGAGTGTTCTTCCTGCTTCACTCTGTACACCCACTTGTTTGTCAAAGCTCTCTTACCTTTAGGTAGCTTTACTAACTCAAAGGTATTATTCTCATACAAGGATTTCATCTCATCTTTCGTGGCTTCAATCCACTTTTCCTTGTGCTCATCCTCCACAGCTTCTGCATAACATTCTGGTTCACCATTATCAACAAAATTAATTTCATAAATATCAGAAGAGTACCTTGTGGAAGGCTGTCTAACTCTTGAACTTCTTCGAAGCTGAGGTGGAGTTGAAGCTTCTGGAACTGGGAGTTTATCATCATTAATGGAAGCATCAGTAACATCTTGCTGCTCAATTTGGTCATCCTCTCCAACCTCTTCAGGAACCACTGTTGGAGGTACTATCTCAGTATCAACTGAATCACCGTTATGAGATCCCAATTCTTTAACCCGGTCAATATCCTCTATGGTTTGATTCTCCACGAACACAGCATCTCGGCTTCTCACAAGCTTCTTTTCAACCGGATCATAAAATCTGTAACCAAAGTCATCTAGACCATAGCCAATAAAGACACACTGTCGTGTCTTAACATCAAGTTTCGATCTTTCATCTTTCGGAATGTGCACAAATGCTTTGCACCCGAAGACACGTAGATAATCATAGGAAACATCATTTCCTATCCATACCCGATTTGGTATGTCAAACCTTAAAGGAGCACATGGTGAGAGATTCAACACATGCGCAACAGTACTTAGTGCCTCAGCCCAGAATGTCTTTGGTAACTTTGCATGTGACAACAAACATCTAACTCTCTCAATCAAAGTCCTGTTCATCCTCTTAGCAACACCATTTAACTGAGGAGTCTTTGGTGGTGTTTTCTTATGGCGAATACCCTGCTCTACGCAATACCTATTGAGTGGCCCAATATACTCTCCTCCATTATCTGACTTTATGCATTTTAGCTTCTTCCCAGTATGTCTCTCAACTAGGGCATGAAATTGCTTGAATATGTCCACAACTTGACTTTTATGCCTCAAAGAATAAACCCATAATTTCCTTGAGCAGTCATCAATGAAGGTAACAAAATAGCGAGCACCACCAAGTGACCTAGTTTTGAAAGGTCCACACACATCAGAGTGTATCAGTTCCAATACCTCTGGTTTCTTCTTAGTCTCAGCAGAACTTTTAAAGGATACTCGGTTCGGCTTCCCTGCTAGACAATGAGCACACCTCTTCAAATGAACATTGTTCAACCCAGCTAAGCTCTTTTTTCTGACCAGCATGGACATCCTCTCCTCAAATATATGTGCAAGCCTCTTATGCCATATATCATTCGTATCATCGTTCTCAATTGTATTGACAATATTTCCTGAGATCTTGGCCTGTAAAACATAAAGTGTAGAACACTTTGTGCCTCGAGCCACAACTAGAGAACCTCTTGTGAGTTTCCATTGGCCATTTTGGAAAGTATTACAATACCCTTCATCATCTAATTTTCCAGCAGAAATTAAATTATACCTGATATCTGGAACATGCTTCACATTTTTCAGAAGCAACTTGGTGCCATTGTTGGTTTCTAACTGAACATCGCCAACACCAACAATCTTTGCATTACCATCATTGCCCATTTTCACAACTCCAAAATCACCTGTTGCATAACTAACAAAAAAAATCCTTTCGAGCTGTAGCATGAATGGATGCACCACTATCAATTACCCAGTTTGTATCATGACTTGCCAAATTAATGGCATCTGTGTCACCATCATAGAAGATAAGAAAATCATGTTCAACTGTAGCAGCTACACTATCATCATCATCACTACCATTATTCTTTTCAGAGTCTTTATTTTTCTGATTTTCTTTCTTCCCTAGTCGGCAAAATTTCTTAATATGCCCCCTTTTGTGACAATGATAACATTCAACATTAGCAAATTTATTAGATTTACCTCTACTGTTAT